CACCACCACCTGGGGAAGGTGAAGTCCATGAAAACGTGGGGGAACGTTTTATATCCAAACCATAACAAATATACTTTTCAAACTTCGCTTCCATCTGAACCATAAATCCTATTACTTGTTCCTTAAAAAAACATATTTTTTTTTTTAGACTTCACTAAGCATACACTTCAGGCAACTGCTACGAGTACAACACAGTGTCTTTCAACGGCATAGAAGGCAAGTCCTCCATTAAATTCACCAACTCGAACTGTTCTGTGAAAGCTCGGCTAAACACGCTGTTGTTCCCTGGGCTTCCCAGAATGAATTCTGCAGCGTCAGGATTAAGAGAAGTTATTCGGGTAGGGACATGGCTCCACGAGTAAGGTTCTCCTCATGAAGTGTGAAGCAGGAGCTTTAATCAAACAGAAGGCAGGGACATGTCAGGTGGGCGTAGCCCCCATCTGTAGTTCTTCTCAGAAGGTAGAGGCAGGGCATCGTAGAGACTGGCTAGCCTTACCGACGTTGGCGAGCTCTGTGCGGCATGCATTGAGAGAGTCTGAATGAACAAGGTGGAGAGCCACCAGGCAGGACCTGGGATGTTACATGCACCTACGCACACGTGAACGTGCACACACCTGGATGCACACCAGACATAGACACATGAGAAATAAATAAAAGAATAGGTGTTGTCAGGTGTCGGGCCTAGGAGGGACAGTGTTAAACTGAAACTTTCTCTAAATGAAGGAGGTTTGAAGGGAACACGTTTCTCTTGGTGTAATACAGGACATCTGGGTTCTCTCGTTTTCTGCTTCACCGTGGCATAGACAGCATCTCCTTTGTTGATGACTAAGCACGGGACTCTATTAGTAGTGACTGGAGGGAAAATACAACTCAGTGAGAGAACATTCCAGAAGCAAGGCCAGAAGACATGCTGGCAACTTGGAGAAAGTTACGAAGAGTCCCCACTGATAAAACCACTGAATACTGTAAGGCAGCAGAGGTGTCTGAGAATGTGGGAAATGGACTGGGAGCAAGGCTGTGGGCCAGAGTCCTGAACTTATATTTGTTCCAAGGCCCAGTTCCCCCAATAAATTCCCCTTTCTGTTGTCCTCTGGTATTCTAGATGTCACTGCAATAGGTCTTTGGAGGTGTGTCCCTATGTATACACCTTTCCAGTTGGCTCTCTGTTGTGGTAAGTACGATGACCAAAAATAACTTGGGGAGGAAAGGGCTTATTTCAGCTTGCAGCTTACAATCCATCACTGAGAGACACCATGGAAGGGTTCTAGAATGGAAACTGGAGCAGAGACCACAGAGGAACGCTTATTCCCTTGCTTCCTCTGACTTGTTCAGCTGCCTTTCTTATACAGCTTAGGCTTTCAGGCCTAGGGATGGCACCACCCATGGTGGGCTGGGCCCTCCTACACCAATTAGCAATTCTGAAGATAAGGCTACCAGCCAGTGTGATCCGAGCAACTCTCAACTGAAGTTCTCTTATTCCAGGTGACATTATATTTGTGTCAAGTTGACAGCCAAGGCTAACTAGAACAACATCCTACCATCTCCTGGGTTTTTAGGACAATGCTTTGTATTCCTTATGCATATTACAGAAGTTTCTCAAATGCTGCTTTGAACATTATATGAATCCCAAAGCGACAGGTTTCCAGAGAAGACGGTAAATTCATAGTGAGCCCTTACAACTCACCCCTTTTCCTAAATCTGTGTTTCCCAGTCCTGTGAACATGGTACTGTACTCTATGGTGCATGGGTGCATGTGCAAATTCGGAGCTTTCTAAACATATTCTGAGAAATCTTAGTTAATACCTCTTTGCTAACATTACCAACTATAAAAATACAGAATTGCTCTGCCTCAGTTGCCAGAGAGCTCGGCTGTGATGAGGGGTGGAAGCTACCTGGGTGATTTAGGTCAGGTGATGTAATCACTTGCACTACACATGTAAGGCAGAGACTCATATGCAGCTGTTGAAAATGACTGACACTTTGCGAGGAGTGACAATATCAACACTTTGTGGCTGGTGGGTAGGGCCCCGTGAGCTATATTTCCCATGGCCCAAAAGTACTGTGGCAAAAGGCTGCACTGAACTGGTCATAGCTGGAAATTAATTACCCATGAGGAAGGGTCAGGGTGGCAAGAGGTAAGGGGCACGTGGGAGACATCTGAGGTTTCATTGGTCAGGCCTCATTACCAGTGGATACATAGTGGGAGGAGCAAGGAGCCAGAGGAGAGTCCATTACAGTGGCCACAGGAGTGACATCGGCCCTGGTGCCATTCAGTTGTAGCTAAGCACACTTTGTTCTTAAAGTCAGCGACCTTACCTATGTCTGACTCCTGAAGAAGAGGAAGGAGGAGGAGGAAGAAGAGGAGGAAGAGGAAGAGGAAGAATAGGAAGAAGAGGAAGAAGAGAAGGAAGAAGAGGAGAAGGAGAAGGAGGAAAAGGAAGAGGAGGAGAAGGAAGAGAAGGAAGAAGAGGAAGAAGAAGAGAAGGAAGAGGAGAAGGAGGAGGAAGAAGAGGAGGAGGAGAAAGAAGAGGAGGAAGAGGAGTGGGAGGAAGAGGAGGAGAAAGAGAAGGAGGAAGAAGTCATCTCTGGGCAGAAGTTCTCAGACTGGAGTGAGCAGGTGGTTTGCATGAACTGCTGCAGTATATGTGTTCAGTGTATCAACTCCAGAGCCAGGCCCACAGCCAGCTGGGTTCTCATCTAGAAAACCCAAGGTGGTAGTCTCCAAGCAGGGAAAATTTTGGCTCTAGAAGAGATTGGGCAACATCTGTGAAACATTCTGTCATCAGAGCAGAGGGGAGGGGTCTGGTGTCTAGAGGCCTGGATATTGACAAGCAAGCCTCTTGCATTGTGCTGGACCACACTCAACTCCAACAAGCAATGTGTGGCCCAAAACCTTAACAGATCTAGGGCAGCAAAACTTGCTTTAGGGTACCAAGGTGACTACATCCTCATAAGGGCTTTTGTGGTTTGGGAGGGTTAAGAAGCAGGAACTTCTAATGTCATGCCAAGAGCAGCTCTCTCAAGAGTCTCCTTGTCACCCAACTTCCTCCTTCTCCAAGGTTAGAACCTATCTGGGACTTGCCTCAGGCAGTCCCACTTGGTAAACATCCTTTCTTCTTCAAACTTCAGATTCCTGACAACCTTATGCCCCAGGCCTATCATCCCTGCTAGTCAGGAGCCTGAGACAAGAAGATCCCAATTTCAAAGACCTATCTCTAAATGAGTTCAAGGCCAGCCCGAATAACTTAGCAAGAACTGTGTCTCAACATTTTTTTTTAAATTGAAGTGGTAGACTACCTGCCCAGCATGTATGATTCCTTGTCTGCCCAGTATGTATGAAGCCCTGAGTTCAATGCCCAGTACCAGGTTCACTACAACCCTACATATGCCTCCTTCAGCTACTTTCCCACTTGTCATTTCTACCCCACTGGAAGGAAATACTCCTCAGGACATGGTCATCCTATTCACCTGTGGGCACACAACATGCTGAAAGGCACCTCCATGTGTGTAGTGGTACCCAGTAGGGAGTTTCAGCTACAGTGGACTCTCTGGAATGGAATCTTCTTTCAGCCGCAGTACAACACTCAGTTTTAACCAATCCAGGCCACTCAGAAATGATACTCCCAGAATTCCCTGCTTCCTCTTCATTTATTGGTCTATTGGAGGTGGAGCCGCGTGTTTTCTGTTTTGGCAACGTTGGGAGATAGAATAAGATAAAAGAGGGCACATCTTCCTAAGAATTTATACTCGGGTTAGATCTGAGGCAATTATCCAATGAAAAAGCTATACACAGCATCCACCTTTCTTGATAAGCCCAGCAGGGACATAAAACAGAGAAATGTGTACATCAAATTTCCAGCAGGGGAGACATGTGGGAACTGACTGGACACCACCAGGGGACAAGTTGTTTCAGATGTTGCTCCCCTCATCCCTAATAACACCCACAATCTGAATTTCCCCATTCTCTGTCTCTGTGGTGACTGTAAAACAGGTACACCGTAGATGCTAAATAAATATCAGCATTGAAAGGAAAGGAAACAGAGTGAAGATTATGTAATTAGTCTGCCCAGGAAGCAGAAGTTTAAAAAAAAATAACAATAGTCCAAGAAAGTGGAAGGACAGCAATGTGAACTTACAGAGTTGACAGGTTATTTGCTGGAGAACAGGTTGAGACTGGGTATGGTCCCATCCCTTTAGTCTGTCCCCCAAGCAAATCTAGGTTGTCCCCTCTAATCTCCAACTCTGTCTCCAACTCCGCCAGAGCCCCGCCCCCTTCCTTCCCACTCCCCCTTTTCTTCCTCCTGGAGGGGCATCTAGGTGGGCAGACACTTCACTGCCCCAGTGAGGAGGAGAAGGGTGCCTCCAGGGCTGCAGCCAGGCAGGCAGGGTCCCATTTCCCCAGCTCCTCTCCCAGGCGGGACACTGTCCCTTTAATAGACTCCCTCTGCCTGGCGCTCTGCGGCTGGGGAGTAAATTTCTCCCTGTCATCAGGTCGCAGGGAGAAGAGGAGGAGTTTGTTAATGTTCAGTTTGTTCAGCCGGGATCGATGTTTGCTGGCATCGCCTCGCCCTGTCTTGTGTGTGTGTGTGAGTGTGTGTGTGTGTGTGTGTGTAAGAGAGAGAGCATATGTGGGGGGTGTGAGTGTGTGTGTATGTGTGTGTGTGTAAGAGAGTGCTTGTGTGTGTGTGTGAGAGAGAGAGAGAGAGAGAAAGAGAGAGAGCGTGTGTGTGTGTGTGTGTGTGTGTGTGTGTGTGTGTGAGTGAATTCCAGATTTTCTGTCTTTCCCAAACCCGCTCCTGTCCTCTCGCATATCACTCACAGACGGGGATCTGACAGCAACAACAAACCTACAGTGAGTGATCTTTCCCCAGCGCGAATCCGCCATCAAGAACAGGGAAGAGGAGGAGGAGGAGGAAGAAGAGGAAGAGGAGGAGGAAGAGGAGGAGGAGAAGGAGGAGAAGGAGGTGGTGGTGAAGGAAGAGGAGGTGGAGGAAGAGGAGGAAGAGGAAGAGGAGGGAAAGAGAAGGAAGAAGAAAAAGAAGAAATCCACTGTCTTCTCAGGATTGTTTTCCCCCTTATCTTTAAGCGCGAGTGTGCGCGTGGCGCGTGTGCGCCCCTCATCCCTGCCATCTGAACCCCGTCTTGGATGTTTAATAAAGAAATCAAGTGTCTCACCAGTCACCAAAAAAACCAGCAAAAAGCAAAACCAAAAAAGAAAAAAAAATCCAAAAGCAAAACAAAAAGAGAGGGGGAAAAAAACCAAACAAACAAACAAGGCAGAACCAACCTCCACTTGCAAGCAGCAGGCGCGAGCCGCATATCTGCCACCCAGAGAGGGGGTCTCCGGCCCCGCGCTGGAGCGCTGGCAGGGGGATCGTCAGGGGGACAGAGGCCGAGTGACGTCCTAGGAGCCACAGAAAGACGAGCGAGACTGCGGCCCCCGCGCGCGGCTCGGGGCTGGGGCGCCAGAAGTGAGACTGGAGCTAAGTAGAGCGATGCCAAGGAGGAAACAGCAGGCACCCAAGCGGGCGGCAGGTAAGAGATGGCTCCGCTCCGGGTGCCCGGCCCCCGAGCCCGGCGCACAGCGGCTCGCCCGGCCGCCCGCCCTCCTGGCCCGGGGCTGGCGGGGACGCCACCCCCTGGCGCTTTCAAGAGGGTTAGCGTGCGTGCGGGTGCCCTCTTCATCACCCCCCGCTGATCTCCCCAATCCTTCCCTCTCCTGGCTCCCTCTGGGTGGTGGCAGGGAAGCTGTCCCACCAAACCTTCCTGGTTTAAACTTTTCCTCCCTCCACCCTCTACCCCACCCCTAACTTTTTCTCCCAGTCTGGCTTCTTGCCTCTGGAACCGAAGTCGGATTATGTATTTGGGGTGCAGGGGGGAGAGAGATAGCCCCCCTCTCGTCCCTCTGAGAGGTCAGTGCTGGCGGCTTCTGGCCTCCAGGGACAGTGTCTCCAGTCGCTGGGGCTCAGGGCTTGCAAGTGTGAGGCATGGCCAAGCCTGTGGCTGCAGGCTGGGCTTTGGAGCTGTGAGCCATGAAGGTATAGCTTTGGTCGCCAAGGTGCAAAAGGCACCCCCGGAAATGAGTGGGGCTTTGGATATGTTTTCTGAAAGGATTCACCGTTTATAGAAATCTAATCGTCCCCTCTCTCTCTCTTGCTTAAAGGCAGGTGGGGATGGAGGGAGAGCACCCATAGAAATTTAAACAGCTTTGGATTTTTTTTTCTGCCACATAGAGCTTTGGAAACTTTGAGAATTGACTACCACCCTAGAAGCTGTCCTGTGGAATTCTTTCTTGCAGGGGCCCTCCCCCTAAAGATCAGAACAGGTCAATAGGTCCCCACAACAGATCTTGAAGGTTATTGTTGTTATTGTTGTTGTTTTTCCTTCTTCCTTTTGGGTTGCCTAATTGCTTTTTTAATAGTATGCTGGGGTTTTGTTTCTCGGAATCGGAACAGGAAAGTTCATTTTTCTCCTGCCAGACCCACCCACTGAAAAATCAGCTTTCCACTCGATTGCTAGTTTTGATTTGACATTTGATTGATCACCTGTCATCTCACTGCCTTTGATCTATTCATTCTGATATATATCAATAAATCACTCACCATGGTAACTCCGAGTGGCAGTGACGCCAGCTTTGCCCTCTATACTCAGAGGGAGAAATGCACAATCATTATCTTGTTGGCTTTTAATGTGGGCGTTTTTATTTCTTTGTGTCCTTTAGTTGATGGGGCTTTCGCAAAAAGTTTAAGTTTCATTGGCTCCCCTGCCCCCTTCTCTCTGACTTTGAGCAGCAATGGGTAAGACTGATCTGGAGAGCATAGCTTTATTTTATTCTGCTCCAACTTGAGTCAAACATGGGAGAAGTCCCCAGGATGCTTGGGTAAACTTTGCAAAGTCACCAAGAAGAAGCGTGTTAGGAATCTGGGGAAAGCGGGTGCCACTGTCTGAACATGCTGGCTACCAGGTTCATAATGCTTCATCACTGCCTGATTCCATCCCAAAGAGTGATACAAGTGCTTCAGACAATCCAGTTTCCTTCCCTCCTGAGTACAGAATAGCTTCCTCGGCCATGTGTAGGTTGCTCTGAGTTGCTTTATTATAAAGCTTCCACTCACGTATTTTCAATTGTTTCTCTAATTGTAAAATAACGAAAATATTCTTAGCAGCACACACATTTGCAGCTTGCCTAAGCAAGGGTTTTCTCTTCTCAACTCTGGGTTACCTCTTCTGGAAACAATAGCTCGCTTATTTTATTGTATCTTTTTAATTCACACGGTCTGGCGATCTGACCATGTGAGAGTGTGTGGCGGCCTTCAAGACTTTCTAAGAGTCTGCCTGCTGCAATGAATGCTAGTAACACAAGTTCAAGTGGAGCTGGGGTATCAGAGATGGCATCCCTGTTTGTCATCCCAAAAGAGGGCCCTGGGCTGCAGTCCAGCCTAAATGATACTGCCCTGAAAGCTACTGTTTTCTTTTGTTTTTGTTTTTTATTGTTTTCTTTCCTTTCCCTTTCTTGTAGTTCCGGTAAAGGCCATCAAGAACTAGGCAGCAATTTAAATTAGCAGAATGACTGGACATGTCTCCCTTCACAAGCTCATTACAAAAAGTGCTTTGCTCAGAATTGCTCTACTTTAGGTATAATTACCCACTGATCAATGGAGATCCAGGTGTGCAGAAAATGACGCTGTATCACATTATTTAAATTAGATCCTTTCGTTAAGCGTTAAGCTGGTATCTATTGGTGCTGGCTACTTTCTTTTTTTTTTAATTGTAGTAGTCTGTGTGTGTGTGTGTGTGTGTGTGTGTGTGTGTGTGTGTGTTAGAAACTTGTGAGTATACTTTCAGTTTTCTGGCCGATTGGACTCTTAGTGTCTTTGCAAGACTATTACCATGATTCTCATTATGTTCCCTAGAAGGAACAGAAATCCTTTTCGAGCTGAAATGGGGTAATTCATTTCGTACACAGTGACTTCCCCAGCTCCCGAAGTATTTATCTGTTCACATATTAGTAGGTGATGGGTTGTTTTTCCTGTGGTGTTTCTTCTGCTCATCCGAGGTCATAAGTGCCCCGCTCTGATTTAGGATGAGTGAGGGAAAGTTAGCTGAGATTCCTCAGCCAGTTACCATTCGGGGAAGGAGGGGGGGTGCTCAGCCTGTAGCTCTGCTAACTTTTATCACTGCTTAAAATTAAATACCAAGCACAACTGTAAGTGATTACTCCTGTGAACCGATGTTGAAAGCTTGATTCCTGGTTTGATTAATGAAAAATAGAAGATAGAAGAAACCTGGAAGTGAACCAGGGCTGAAGCTCTCCTGGAACCCTCTTTCTCCAACCCTCTTTCTCTCTCTTCCAGGCTATTAAGTTTCTTTACACGATTCGGCTTAAGGATGATGTTTCAAGACATTGGTGGCCTAAAGTTTCTAATAAAGCAGGCCGTCTAAATACAGTTACAAGATGGCATACTAAGTGATGGAGAATTTTAATTTTTTTATTATTATTTTAGATTCCTCCCACTGCCTTATATGCCTTATACGGGGTTGGGGTAGATATGTGGAAGGCCATTCTCTTTAAGTAAACAGCTCAGAGGAAACATTTCTCTCAGAAATATTCCTGGCCTTCACTTTCTAAAGCTTTACTCTTTCATAGTCCTAGGTCTTGGGGCCAGGAAGAAAGTTTAGAAGGTAGCTTTTGTATCCCCCTATCATGACTGTACGGGTGTGCTTGACTCACTCTCTTGAGTGTATGTTTGACTTGCCATTAAAATGCATCTGCTCTTACCTGAAAATCTTCAGGAATCTGCCCTGGCATCCTTCCCCCGAGTTCATTTCAGGGAAGATAAAAAGACGATGGCAGGAAGGTTGAACAAAAAGAAACTGTCTTGATATGTTTGCACGTTACAGGATGCAGAGCGCTTGAATTTTCAAAAAACCATAGGCATGTTCTCTGACAGTACTTTTCCTAACAATCCCAGCCGTGTGGTCGGCGGCGTACATGCGAAGTAGAGGTTTTACTTCAGCGGCATACAATTATTTTTATACTAAGACCGGCCAGTCGCAATGGAGCATGGAACCTTCTGTAATCACATCCCTGTGAATATCTAACACGGCTGTGAGTTATTTCCCTGCTTCTGCTCACCCCAAGCCAGTCTGTGGTTTTTTTTATTTTCCTTGTGGACTTGTGGCAGCTTCCGATAATCCGGTCTCTTTTTTGAGGAGGCTCACAGGAGAAGGCATCTCCCTCAGTTTATTTTGTTTATTGAATGTGGAGATGAATAATGCAGATTTTGTTTGCATGGGTGTCCTTGTGTAACAGTAAACATCAGACTATTAGCAATCATTACTTAAAAGTTGCAATTTGCACCTTAATAACACAGGTTATTACTTGGGAAACGCATTCAGCAGGGGCATTTCTAAATGTGCTGCGATGGGGTAGGAACAGCCGAAAGATCTCTTCTTCTACTTCAGGATAGTGTGGATTCCGGATTGATGGGTGAAGTCCCCCAAATCTCAACTAACTGCACAGGGGCAGGAGCTAGTGGCTACAATTTAAGTTTGCCTTGAATTTCCTAGCAAGCAGGACCCAGGTTGTTTTCTGGACTCTGATTTTCTCCCTTTGCTTAAACATCCTTCAGAAAAAAACAAGTTTACATCTTGAACTCTAAAATGCCTCATGTTATGGGTTTCTTTGCTTCCAAGAATGATGTGGTTTTAAGACAAGTAGACACACACACACACTAGCTCACAGGGCTCCAGCAACAGGGGTTCTGAGCTATTCTTGCTGTCTAAAGCAGATTTCAGACTGCAGAGGCCAGGTACCTAAGACTGCCTTTCCCCTTACAGTGTTTTCATCGGAATTGATTCTTCCTGTGGTCCTTTCCCCAGCTCTCTCCTGCTCTCCTTCTCCCCCCTGCCCCTCCTCTCAGCTCACCTTTAAAGACCCAGATTGAATAGGACATTTCAAAAGTGCATTTGTTTTAGGCATTTATTGATCTCATTTTTAATCTGCCATATCAGGACATAATATATTAACCCTAATCAGAGGATTGTGAGAGGCAGGACTCGCGGTAGAGAGGGAAGGAGAAGGTGGCAAGGGGGAAACTTTTCGGCAGTGAAGTCGCTGAAGCTTGTTTGGGGTGGTGGGGAGCGGTCAGATGCTCGAAGTTACCTTTGGGAAGGGTAAAAATGTGGCCCATAAGTTCTTCACTCTTCTTTTTCTTCCACTCTTGCTCTCAGCCAACTGGGTTCTTCTTGCTGCCTTAGGAGAAACTCCATGGATACCCTCCTAAGCATCTTTAGATTTACCCCCCACCCCATGTCTTGACTGTTGTCACATTCTCAGAGGATCAGGCATCCTTTCTGACTTACCACTCTTTGGGGGATACTTGGGGAGGGGAACTCTCTCCTACAAGATAATACCTGTCTTTGTTTATTTCTCTTCCCAAGGCCTGGGAATACAGCTCTTTGCTGAGCAGGTCTTAGAGGGAGACTTGAGCTGACATTATTTAAGGACCTTGTGATGAAGCTTCTCTGGCTGT